TGGATATTCTGTCCTTTATGCAAAGGTTGATACACTTAAGAAAGACTGAGATGAGGGCTATCGGTCGAAAATTGCTGAAGTCACTAAGGTCTTTATCTTTTTTAGGGATGGGTACTACTTGTCAGGAAGACATCGTTTAATGCAGTTCGCAAGTTGTTAAGTGAGACATCTGGTAGAGCTTTTAACATTTTATATGTAACTAGGTCTACCCCTCCGGCTGAACTATTAAAAGGTGATTGCTAGGGCGTGGGTGGGAGTTAGTTCTTTATCAATTGGTAAATGGGAGTTGTGAGAGGGGACTTGGCTTTGAGTAGGGCTAAGAAGTTCTTGTAGTTGTCGCTAGACCACTGCGAGTTGTTTGTGTTTTTAAAGTCGCCTCTTAGTGCTTTCACGAATTTCCATGCATTTCTAGTTGAGGGAGCAGCGTTCAGTTCGTCTATCTTATTTTCAAAGCTTTTCTTTTTTGCTATTTTAACTTTGTCTTTCCACTCTGCTTTGAGCTTGATCAGTTCTTCAAAATTTTCAGGTGCAGCTTTGCACTTTTTAGACGCAATTTTAAGAAAGCGGAAGGCCTTGTCAAAAGACTCATCCCACCAAGCTTTCGGGGATCTGTTGGCACTGAGCGTATATGTGGCAGCCTCAATTTCTGTTCCGAACTGATTATGTATGTCGTTAAAGTTTGGATCAAAATTGGTTAGTTGTAGATTGGCAAATAGCTTTTTTTGGGATAGGAACCTGCGTCCCTGATGCGTGACCGCAGTGGACTCAATGAGAATGGGGAAATGGTGACTTCCTCCTAGCCTGATTGGGTCGACCTTCCAGACAAATTGAATGTTACTATTTGTAAATGACAAGTCAAGCACTGACCCATTAGGAGCCAGTATGTTATTTTTGAATGTCGACGAACCGTCATTTAAATGCCAGAAATTATGTTCTAGAATAATTCTATGCAGGTTATTTCCTCGACAAGATTGGATGCGGTCACCCCATGCTCTCGCCCTAGCGTTGAAATCTCCCAGAATAAGAACATTGCTAAACTGCTCAAGATATGTAAGGAGTCTCTGAATTTCGCTCTTAAAGTCATTTATTAGGATGTTCTGTGGAAAGTAAACTGCAAAGATAATTAGGTTTGGATTAAGGTTTTTGGTTTTGATGATCAGTATGTCAAAGTTAGATAAGAAATTTAATTTTTGAAAGGTAATTTGTTTTTTAAGGACTATGGCGACGCCGCTATATCCATCTTCTCGGTTTTTTTCGATAATGTTGTAGTTGATAATGTTTCTGCGTTGTTGCTCGCTGGAGGTGAATATTTGACTGAGACATGCTATGTTATAATGATTTAAATAGTATTCAAAGTTGTTGATGTTAGCTTTAAGTGATTGGCAGATTGGCAAATTTTCATATGTTATAGTTGAGGGGGGATGTCTGTACCCATACTGATCATGTCAACCTCGTTTTGTATCGAATTACGCTCAAATTGTTGCTTTAGGGCTAGAACCTTCCCTAGGACTCCTTGCATGTGCTCATTGGCGCATGCACTATTAATTAACTTGAACAATTCTGACAAGAGTTTTTCCATTTCAGTTACCCGTCCTTTCAAGTATTCTGGCTTTTCTAGCACAGAATCTCTGGGTGGTCTTACCCTACTCTCCCTAGTGGCAGGCTGCATTGGGACTGCTTTGTACTTTCTAGGACTGTGGAAGTTTTTTGTTAACGTTAATGTCTCTGTTTTGGATGTTTCCGTTTTCAGACGGGAGTGGTGGAAAGTCTGAGTCCTCCACTTCGAGAAGTTCGAAACGATTTTCACTGGCCGCAAAGTAAGTTTTGATTGTTTCGCGTCTTGATATGTTTTTAACGGTTCTAATATGGTTAATGGTGCGCTCCTTTTCCCAAGCCGCGCAAGTGAGCTTATCTGTGGAGACGTGGTCTGAGCTGCCGCATAAAATACACTTTTTTTGCAAGAATTTTCGTCACATGATGTGAGACCACACTTAATGCAACGTTTCTTAGATTTGCAGGCATATTGTGTATGATCCAATCTGCCACAGTTGAGACATTGCCTTAGCGGGGGAATGTAAAAGTCAATATATAATTTGGTATAATCGAAGATTATGAATTTTGGGATTTCTTTACCCGAGAAGCCGATTTTTATGGTAGTTGTTGGAATGTATGAGTCACTGTCCTGGCTTTTGCGCGTGAAGCGCCTGACTGTGGCGATGGGGACGGTAGAGATGGCATTAGCCTTTATCTCTGCCTCCTGATACCAAGTCGGAATGCCCCTCACTACTCCGTACGTCTCAACTGCAGTCTTGGGTACAAAAGCTCTTAAACCCAGAGATTTGACTTTGTCATTAAGTACAAAGTTATTAGCTGACGCTGCATTTTTGAAGGTTATTTTATAGAGGCTTTTGCCAATGGCATAAATTAAATCAATGTCTTTGATCCTGAAGACTTTGATTTTGTCAAAAAGAGTTAAACCGTTAGTGATTCTTTCGTTATTCATGTCACCACATTGTGACGAGTCAACTTATACGAGATACACACCAGAAAAGCTTGCTGGGTACAGTGTCGTGTCATTATTGGTATTTGTGCTAACGCTGTTCGCCACCACTGTGTCTACTTGCGGTCCGTTAGTCAACTCCAATAGCGGGCTATCGGTATTCATACCTGTCCCGTTATCTAGTTGTACATCTACACTCATTTCACTTATTTCGCTAGATTTTTCGTCCCTAACCTCACTGATTACACCTGAGTCAAGATTGACTTGCACAGCTTTTGGGATTTTAACATTTTTTTAATTAAATGGGGTTCCGCACTCTTTCTAGCCCGTTTGCCCGTGGCCAAATTGGCACCCGCAAAGGCTTCGAACTCGTCAGCCGATGACGCCCTCGACGACGAGGACGCCATAGCGGCTTTGGTGTTTTTTGCTGCCGTACGCGGCAGGCTTACTTTTAATTAAAAACCAACGCACAGGAATAGTTCACCAAAAAATGTCACAACTTATAATAAAACTTGCAAAACCACTCACCTGCTATCCTTATCACGACAGGGAAGGTGTTCTTTAAAAGCCAAAGTTGACCGAAAGGCGGTCTCAAACGGAGAAACAAACGATCAAATACAATTTGCTGTAGTATTTGCTTTTATGTTCACTTCAAAAAGAAAAAGTTTTAGGTAAAGCACATTCAAATGTGCAAATGCGCAGAAAAATTTGATCCTCAAAATAACTATGTGTATGCGCCAAAACACGTCCACCGTCACTCGCTGATGAAAAGGGAATGTTATTCATTCTTTGAACAATTTTCGATTACAGACTTAAAAATTAGCGGAAACAAAGTTTTAAAATCTTCACAAATTATACTAACAGACCCTGTGGAAACAATAACTGAAGAACACAAGAAACTTATGGGTCGACTATCGATATCAACCGAACTTCAGTTGAGTTGGCAGTTGCCAAAACAATATTATAGATGGCATCTGGCAACTCTCAACCGTCAACTGAAGTTGTCACAAAGTGTGTATACTTGCAACTGCATTTTCGGGGTTGCTGTGGAGGTTAGAAGAGCGTTTTACAAGCGAATATTTAAAAGTGAGTAAAATATTTTAATTTTTAGCAGTTTTAACGTTACTAAAGTTTTGGAATGTATTTTGCTTTTGCAGAAAAGATGGTGAAAATAACTACAAAACAACAGTTTGAGATTTTGGCGCAACATATGAGCAAAATCCTTCGATTGCTCGTGGTGTACGCGCTTTTGGCGAGACAAAAGCAAATACTGAGCATGTTTGGAAGGAAATTTCTTCTAAATTAAATTGTTACGGACCGCCAACTCGTACATCCGTAGAATGGCAGAGGGTATGGATACATTTTAAAGCCAAGTTAAAAAAGAAAATGCCACATAATAGGAGGAATATATCCATCACCGGCGGCGGACCATCTGATGAAATAAGTTTGTCCGCGCTGAAGCAGGCCGCAGCGGACTTTATGCAAATGGCCATTTCGGTCGATCCGCCAGGTCCCACATTCGGAGCGATTTTACCCCAACAGCCTCAGGACGCTGAAAATATTGCCTACATTGAGAAAATTAATACAATTTTAGAGGTAGAGACTGAGCAACCACAGCAAGAAACGGTGACGCCTCCTGTAGCAGTACAACTACCCAGGAGAAAGAGGGCGCACGATATCAGATTAGACCTCCTCCAGCAACAAACAGGAACCCAGGGTGAGGTTGTTAATAAGTTGGGACAAAATTGAAAGAAAGCTGTCCAGAAGAAATGATCTCTTAAAAGATATACGGGATTTTAAGAGGGAAAAATTAAAAATATTTAAGGAAGCGCATGAATTGAAAAAAATAACATCATATGCTTGTTGAAGAGCAGCATTTGAATAAAAAAATTTAACAAAAAAAACTGGAGCTCTTAGAAAAATAGATCTCCAATTTAAGTTGAGGCTTTTTACCTTTATTTATACCAATATTTTTTACTATTAAGATCAGTTGAATGAACTGTTATTTTTTTTTAGTTTTAAGAAAAGTGAATTTTGTATTTTTTGTTGTGATATAGTATTTTTTATTAAATCCAAAGAGAATTAGGTACATATATTTTGTATACTTTATCGACGGCTGAGTGGGAGATCGACCTATCTCGGCAGTCGGTTCGAAATCGCCGTATCGCAGAAAAGTTTTCAATAAAGCCCTATCTCAGATTTGATTGAAAAACGCCATATCTCATATGCAAATATATTGGGATAGGCCGTTTTTGATTCAAATTCTGAAATAGGGCGTTCTTCAATCAAATTCTGAAATAGAGTGTTATTAGGAAGTTTTCTGAGATATGGCATTTTCGAACTGGCTGCCGAGATAGGACGACCTTTTATTCAGCCTTCGATATGTGATATGTTACTTTTAAGGAAAACTGAATGAAAAGTTGAAATGAAAAAGGTTGATTTCATAGCTGAAAATGAATAAACATGAAGAACGCTAAAAAGATATAAATGTGTTGTTTACTTTTAATAAAATTGAATTTAAAATTAAATACTTTATTCAACTAAAAGATTGTTTTATTCATTTAAACATTGCATTACATTATATCTTATATCAGAGGCTACGGTGTTATCATTCTCGGTTACATTTGGACTTGCAACTTCCTGCGAGATTGTCGGATCTTCCTCCCAGTCTGCTTTATAGTGTAAACCAATATTATACAACGCGCAACATGCATTTATTATTGACCCAGCTTTGTCAGGTTTATAGTGCAGGCCCCTTTCAGCAGAAAGACATCTAAATATAGACTTAAGGACGCCATTTGTCCGCTCTATCACATTTCGGGCTTTAGAATGGATTGTATTGTATTTTGCTTCAGGAGATTGAGGTTCCGCTGAACGAAAAGGGGTCAAAAGATGTGGTTCTAATGGAAATCCAGAATCACCTAGGTATTTTAAGGTTACATCAAAAGGTTTCATAACTATTAACGAAATACAACCTAGAAGCCAGGTGTTCGGACCAAAATCATTAGAAACCATTTGTTTCAAATCACTATTGTTCCAAATAAAAGCATCATGAGTAGATCCTTGATGTCTAGCATCAACATACCGTATCCGCATTTGGTAATCGCACATCTACAAAAAAACAAAAATGAAATGTCGTACAAAATAACAAGATAACATAACTCACCAGTAAAACATTCAAACTGAAATATCCTTTTCTGTTCATATATAAGTGGCGAACATCCTCCTTCGGTAACATTATATGCACATGTGTCCCATCTATACATCCAACACCACGAAATTTCGTTTTCGAGTAAAAGAAGTTCTTGTTTTTGGATTTCTCTTCCTCGGTCATTTTTGAAGTAATCCATTGATTGGAAATTTTTTCCTCAATCAGTTGAAGCATCTCTTTTAAAACAACCGACATCGTAGGTTGCGCCAGTCCCAAATTGAAATCATTGCCGTGAGACTTCAGAAAACTTCCTTCTGCAAAAAATCGGAGAGCTGCGCAAACTTTTATTAGCGGAGGTACTGCAGTTGAACGATGGTTCCGCCTAAAGTCATTCCTCAATGTATTTACCAAATATAATACAGCTTCTATTGGAAGTCGGAAATATGCTTTAAATCTGAAATCAAAAACAATCACAATAAAAAGTCTTCCAAGCGTTAACTTTTGGGAAATGTTTAGTTATTGGTACAATGAATTTGTGGTGCGCAGCGGGGGGGAGGGGCCGTTGCATCTCAAACCCCACCCATTACAAAGATCACAGTCCCAACTTCTATTGTCAAAGGTATACAACATTTCTTGTGCGTATAATTCCGGCTACGCCATCCAAAGTACTTTTGCGCAGAACCCACATACAAATTTACAAAAAAAGTAGAATTTCATCATTTGACTCACGTATATGTTAAAGTTTTAAAATTCCGGTGACGCGTTTGAACACCACAACTTAAAATCATTGTACAAATAACTAAAACGTATCCTAACTTTTACTTACAGTGCCGGCGGCAGCTCTAAAGGATTGGAATTATCCCTTAAATGTCGCCTGATTGATGCTGCGTTCGTACACTCCTCCTCCTCTTCAAAAAATAGTTCTATTGAACTAAGCATTGTAGCAAGACTTATTATTAAAAACTCTATATTAATAACTTTATTTCACTTTTATTTTGCGATTATTTTGCTTGTTTACCTATCCTGCGCTGGTTGACGAGCTGTCAAATTTCAATAATCGATAACTTTTCAGCAACTGGCGATAGTTGCCATTCGTAATACAAATTTTCTTTTCAGTTGCGTTGCAAGCTGCCAACCGAAGCATAGTTGCGTTGCTATACATAATCGACCCATTAAACTCATGACAATTTACCATAACGACCCGATATCAGGCGGACATTGCGGAAACAAAAAACTCTATGCAAAATTACGTACAAAATACTATTGGAAAAATATGACACGCGATATTGCTAAATTTGTAAAAAGCTGTGAGAAATGTTTATTAAATAAAGTAAAACCCATTGTTTTAGACGTACGCACACTCCGAGGCCCAAACATCGACTCGGACAACTATCTTGTTGCAGCCAAGATACGCACCCGCCTCTGTGCAGCAAAAAATGTGCGCTCAAATATGCAAGGAAAGCTTAACCTCGAAAAGCTGCAATCGCAACAGACAGCCAACGCTTTCGCTACTCGACTCTCACACCTGCTCTCAGAGAGCACTCTGCAACAAATCGACATATGCGAGCAGTGGAACCATTCCCACGACAGCCGGTTCTACGTACCGGAATGACATTCCCACGACAGCCGGTTCTACGTACCGGAATGACTCGGTTTTACCCGACCAAGGGCTGTTGTTTCGGCGATCTAACCCCGTTTAGTTCGGCGA